TAAATGGCGTTACTGGCCTTCTTCTCTCTTTCTTTAACATTGCGCGTCCACAGCAGCTTACTCCCCACTCTCTTGGAAGCTCGATGCTAAATACCTAGCCTCGGGGTCTCCACACTGGGACCTTATATCTTTTTGTGACTACACCACTGACCTATACAAATTGACAAAAAAACTTCTTTGTGCTGGTGAAGCATGTAAAACTGTAGGACGAGTAGCCTGTGCAAAATATGATGTGGGTTTATGTTTGAAATGTTTTGCTACTTTTTATTAACTTCTTCATCCGCTTTGCACGTAGAATATGCATATATTATCAATAAATGTATTCAAACTTATACACAATATTTCTATTATTTCGTATTTTAACCAAATACTGAATAACTATACTACTCCCAAAGTTTTAGTCATATTTTTTCCTTTACTTTAACGCTACTTTTAGCCTGTATATAGGTGAAACCAAAAAAATCTAAAAAAAAATTAATCTGGGACAATTTGGGTTAATCAGAATTTTGGTATGCAGTTTTGTAGACCATTTCATTCTAGTATAATGAAGTGCAAGTTTCAAGCTGCTATAAAATCCCGTTAATTTTTGGCAATTTTTTTTGCTGGCAGTGTTCTCCATATAAAAGAAAATTGTCGCACATACTTTTGTATGGAAAAGACGTGAAACACCTTCAACAAAAAAAAATCATTTCTGTGAGCTGTCTGCAAATGCTTTTTAATGTTGGCTGTCGCTTCACCTGAACATTTGAAAAGAAATTCCAAAGAATCGGCAAAGAATCGGCGAAAAAATGCCGATGCCGATGCCGATGCCGATGCTCAATTTTGTGCCGTTACTAGCCGATGCCGATTAATCGGTCGGCCTCTAGTTTTTACAGTTGATTTTATAATAAAATGTTGTTTTTTAATTGGTAATTTTTTTTGTAAATTCTGGTCAGAAAATTTTTTTGTCGTGTGGGAACCGTGGTTACATCCCGAGCTAATAAAAGGAAGTTAAAAACGGGAATGACGGTTCAGTATACTACAGATGTCAGTTTTGAAAAAAACATCGATGCATCGACACATTATACATCGATGGCATCCAATTTAAATATGGAACGTTTAAAACTTACATGTTAGCAGGAGTCAGGGCTTTTTTCTTCCCTTTACAATTAAAGTTAGAAAAGGCAAAAAAGGCAAATATCTTAAAAAAGGCAAAAAAAGACATCATCAGACGTGTATATATGGAATCAGGGAAAGCTAGATCGTGGACATTCTTAATCGAATATACTCTATATCTTTAACAGAAAAAAGGCAATTTCCATAAAATCCGTTCTCGGGATATTATCATGATACAAATAACTTGTACGATATTTGCACTGTGACAAATAACGAGTTTTTTGACAATTGCAAAAAAATACAACTTCGAAACTCTTTTTAATATAATTTTTCATTTTGCTACTGGCGAAATTACAGAGCGCCGTAGATAATTCGAATTTCGAATAATCGCAAGTTACAAAGAATCTGGACTATTAAACGGACAGGGTGGCGACGAATAACAGTTACCCTGTTTTTTTTTTAATGAAGTGGTCCTTTATATATTTTGCGAAAAAAGTATTTTATTGTTAATTTTCCACAGATTTTACTTTAATTTTATTAATTTATTTTTAAATTTTAACCTTTATTTGAGTTTACCAGGCAAGTAAAGCGCAATCGGCACGCAAGTGTTCGTCGGTTAATTTATTCCATATCTTCTGTAAACATAGGCTAATTTCCTCCTTTCCGAATCCCTTATATTCCCCCTTTTGACCAACATAAGGACTCATATTCAGAAATCGAATAGACTCGGAATTGCTGACTGGGGCGGCCATTCGTTCGACCAACCCTATACAGCTTTTCTTTTTCTTTGTCTTTTTTATACAAAGTCTAAGAATAAATACACCTGAAAAAGACCTGCGTGCCACATGTACTTATCTTCCAAAGTTTACACTGTTGGCAAATACAAATAAGGATTAAAATTTTAAAACTAATTAATAAAATGTAAGTAAAATCGGCAGAAAATTAACAATAAAATCACAAAATCTATAAAGGAACCCTCTATTTCAAAAAAAAACAAAAACTGTGTAACAGGTATTCGTCGCCATGCTGTATAAATACGCCAGTATGGAGAGTACATATCGAGAGCTTATATTCAATACCCTGTATCTGGAATTTTCCCAAAAACAACTTTGTGATGTTAGAACCGATCTGGAACTTACGTGCCATCACTGATGTTAATTCTGACTTTGCAATTTAAGAGTAAAATCTTCTGTCAAGCGTTATACAAGGTCAGCATTAACATCACCGATGACAGTTAAATCTTTCGTGAATTTTTATATCAGAATCTCATTTTTGTGAAAAATGCAGATAGAGGGTATTGAATATATGCCCTCGATATTCTTGTGTGTTCGAACTCGATCGAACTATTACCTTGGCTGTCGCTGTTCAATTCGCTGTTATTTATTATGCAAGCTGTCGCCACAATCTGGCATTCTCTGTGGCCGAGTTAGCCGTCGCCACGTTCTGGCATCCATGTAAATCGAGGGCGAAGAGAGCGAAAAGAGAGAGAAAACGGAGAAAATAAATTCATCAGCTAGGGGAAGTTGTCAACTAGCGGTCATCCTCTCCGCACGTATAAGTGTTTACTAACCCGTAATTATATAGATTACATACATACCCTTTGTCAAGTACATACCTAGCGGAATAAGTCTGAAGTTTTTGTGTATAATAAAATCAAGCCTTCGCTTCAATACTGTTTTTTGGAAACCTCAATACAATGCAAATGTGCACATAAATTTGGTGGCCCATGAGGGGAATTCTAAGTTAGAAGACCATCCCAACCCAACAATCACAAATAAGCCGAGATACAACGTTCATATTTGCTGGCGGAAACACGCTTATGCGCGAAAAAAATAAATAAAAAAAATAAAAAATTGCCATCACCGCCGTTTGTAAAGAGGCAGAGTGTTAATTGGGGACGTCACAACACCTAACCCCAAAATAACAAGTTTTGGTCAACAAGTCGTCCACCTACACGAGAAGAAGCCAAACTCCGTTCAAAGACGACATCGAAGCTGAATCCATACTACACACACAGCATACAGGTGAGTGTGCCAGTGCGCTATAGTTGTAGGTTGCTTAAATCACGGCATTGCATTGCGTCAATACTTAGAGAGTAAGTAGGGTATCGGTTAGCTTCGCCACCGGCAACGGATGATGGACACTCGGCATTACAAGCAGCTCACTATGACGGTCTCAAGCAAATCTATAAGAACTTCAAAAGGACGAGGAAAACGAAAACCTATTGCCAAGTCCGCCTAGATAAGGGTGAGTTGCTGCATAGAGAATTCTTTGAAGGTCACAAAACCCTTGTTTGCTCTTCTCTGAGTCGCGATTCACCATATTTTAAAGATGCAGCGACAGCCAAATTCGAGGATCTCTACTTCGACATGCGTGCTGCACTGTTAGACGCCTTTGAAGAGCAACAGCCTAAATCAACACAAGACGCTCCTCCGAACCCATCTGCAGGGCATATTCAAACGTCATCGCTTGAGCTACCGAAATTACCCCTACCATCATTCACTGGAAAGTACACAGACTGGCCAGCTTTCCACGATGCCTATATTCGCTTAATTCATAACAATTTGAGCTTGAGCATGATCCACAAGTTCCATTTTCTGAAAAAGGCGCTACCTGATGATAAAGACCTCGATGTGCAGCAAATGGAGCTTACCGAAACTAACTATCCTACAGCCTGGGAGTTAATAGTAAAGCGGTACAATAACCCTCGACTTCTTTTCATGCACCACATGAACAAGCTGTTCAGCATCTCTATGCTCACGAGAGAACGGTCGGATGGCATCAAAGCGCTTCTAAACGCAGCCAGGGTGTGCATCAATGAGTTCCAGAGACTAAAAATTCCTATTTCCGACTGTGACCACTGGATTGCCTACTATGTCTCAATCCAGCTCCCTAAAGAAACGCATCAGGCATGGGAACATCATTTAGGTAGTGGCACTTCCATTCCAACCTTTACCGCACTTGAATCGTTTTTTGAATGATCGCTTAGTTACGATTAACGTAATCGAAAACGGGCAGCGTCACATTGATGCGTCAGCTCATTTACCAGAGAAACGCAGCAGTTGGAAATCGAATCAGTCAGTCAGCAAAAGCTTTCATGTAACTGCCCAACCAAAAAGGGCAGGTTCGTGCTACCTATTATTACCTATATATTGCGCCGTTGCTCGGCTTTCCTGACTAAGGACTGTTTCGAGCGCAAAACTGTTGTTGACCGCACCAAATTATGTTTAAATTGCCTTAGCAACTCGCACACAGCTTCTCAGTGTCCCAGCACAAAAAATTGCCTTCAGTGTGGACAAAGACATCACACCTTGTTGCACTTTCCGAAAACCGCTCCACCAACAGAGAGAGCTTCAGCAGCACAACCACAGCTGAATCCCACAGCTCAGCCTTTCCGACGCGAAAGCACATTTATTTCAACTACAACAGCCTCGAAAGCAGCAAATTCTACTTTTGTCGCAACAACAACTACAGAAAATCTAACGCGACAGGTTCTTCTAGCAACTGCAATGGTAAATCTAGTGAATAATGTCACTAGTCAAACAGCAATCGTACGCGCTCTCATTGACAATGGTTCCGAAGCAACGATAATCTCGGAACACGCCGCTCAATCCGTTGGCTTGACTCGCACTCGAACTTCAGCGGAAATCTCCGGGGTCAGCGGCACTCCCTCAAAACATTGTAACTTCACTGTCAATTTTAGCCTTCGGTCATGTATCAATCCTGATTTTCACACTGCAATAGACGTAGCCTACGTTCTAAATTCGCTCGCGATCCATCTGCCCAGTGAGAAAATTGTGGCGCAGCAGTGGCCACACATACTTGGCCTGCAACTCGCTGATCCCACTTATTTCCAATCTCGCCGTATAGACTTGCTCCTCGGAGCCGATATGATGGCTCGTATCATGTTACCTGAAACTCGCATTGGAAGGTTCGACGAACCAATCGTACAACGCACACAATTGGGGTGGATCTTGACCGGCAATGTAACGCCTGTTTTCAAACGCTCAACGAGCATTCGCTGTCACCACTCCACGCTTCAACTTGAATCTCTCGTTCAAAGGTTTTATGAACATGAACAAATACCTGCGGACCGAGCATCATCTCTCGAAGAAAACTGGTGTGAAAACCATTTTCTGCAAACACATTTGCGTCAACCCAATGGCAAGTACTTGGTAAGGCTTCCATTAAAGCATTTGTTTGACCAAACTCAAACACTTTGCAAGTCTAAGCAAACAGCACTACATCGTTTTTATTGCCTAGAGCGCAAACTTCAACGCGACGAGAAACTACGCAAGCTTTACAGCGAATGCATCCATGACTACTTCGAATTAAATCAAATTAAGCCTGCTACAACAACGGAGAGAGATCACTGCGCCTTTACTCCGGCGAATGCTCCAACAGTGACCTCGTGCGTTTTGCCACATCATGCAGTGCTTAAAGAAGAGAGCTTAACGACTAAGCTACGCATCGTTTTCGATGCTTCGTGTAAGACAACGAATGGCAGATCTTTGAATGATGTTTTGTGCACTGGCCCGGCGCTGCAAAACGACTTATCTGCAGTAATCTTGAATTGGCGAAAACATAAATTCGCGTTAACTGCTGATATACAAAAAATGTATAGATGCATCAATATGCACCCCGAAGACTCGCAATATCAGTGCATCATATGGCGGAATGGCGAAGGAAATATTAAAGAATACTGTCTCACCACGGTCACATTTGGAGCGGCCTCGGCCCCATACACCGCAATACGTGTACTTCATCAACTCGCGGAAGATGAAAGGGAGTCACACCCACTAACAGCAGAGGTTCTCAAACACGAATTTTATGTCGATGACGTGCTATCCGGCAGTGACTCCATCGAAGGCGCTATAGCTATTCGTGAGCAAGTTACTGCGGCTCTGCTCTCTGCTGGTATCAACTTACGCAAGTGGAGCAGCAACTCGATCGGTTTACTGGATGGAATTCCTCCGGAGCACATGTCAAGAGCAACTGTTTAAACTTCAACAGCACCGAAACCGTCAAAACACTAGGCATGTGCGGGCAGCCGATTCATGACATGTTCATTTTCAAACTTAACTTTGAAATTGATTTCTCAGCAACAAAACGTGCTATGCTATCAACTATTGCTCGGCTGTTTGATCCACAGGGACTTATTGCACCTGTCATAATAAAGGCGAAAATTCTGCTCAAGTCGATGTGGATGTACACGGTTAAAACCGAGCGTCAAGAGAGCATGGCCCTCGGGTGGGATGAAGAACTTCCAGAAGACATAAATGATCAATGGCAACAGTCTAGGCACCTTATCTACCCTGCACTGCATTAAGATTCCCAGCTGGCTACAATATGAGCCAATTTATATCAAGTCGCTACAACTTCACGCCTTTTGTGACGGCTCAACTGCAGCTTATGCAGCCAGTGTTTATTTGCGTGTGGAACGTTCCGACAATAGAATCTACACTACCTTGCTCATAGCCAAGAGCCGAGTAACACCAACGAACGGTGCCGTACTGGCGACAGAATTGGCAACCTGGACCAAACGGTCGTTTAAAGCTAACGTTTTAGATTTGCCCATTTTTTATTGGACCGACGCTACAATTGTCTTGTATTGGTTAGTCGGTGATCCCAACTGATGGCAAACGTGGGTAGCGAATAGAGTAAGTAAAATCTTCAAGCATCTTCGCCGCATCAGTGGAGCCACGTCGATACGCTTCAAAATCCTGCCGACTGTGCAACTCGAGGATTAACTCCTACGGCTTTATCGACATTTACGCTGTGGTGGACTGGTCCACCCTGGCTAAAGCAGGCTGACGCTGATTGGCCAAAATTTGACCACGCAGCAGTGGATGTGCAAGAGAAAGTGGCTGAAGTCAAGCGCAAACAACTTCACGTGCACTTTTCTATCGCTGAAGATTAAGTGATCTTTCGGTACTCTTCTCTTCATAAAACGGTACGTGTGTGCACTTACATGTTTCGGTTCGCCTACAATGCTCGTACGCAAACTGCTAAGCGTTTGATGGGACCTTTGTCAGTCGCAGAGATGAACGAAAGTTTAACTAAGATTGTGAAGCTTGTTCAACAGGAAGCGTTTTCCAAAGATATAAGAAGCATTCAGGAAAGGGGGTCGCTGCCAACCAATAGCAATCTCACGAGCTTAGCACCATTCCTGGATGATCAAGATGTCCTTCGTCTACGCGGTCGAATTCAACTAGCGGTATTACCATATTCACAAAGGCATCCAATTATACTACCGAGTTGTCATCACTTCACCGGTTTAGTCACCAGCAGCGCGCATTTAACAACGTTGCATGGTGGCCCGCAACTAACCATCTCTCACATTCGACAGCAATTTTGGATTGTAAACGTCAACAATTGCGTAAATGTATCATCTGCTTTCGCAACAAACCAGTTACAGCCACACAGCTAATGGGAGATTTGCCTTTTCACCGCGTCAATCCACCGCAACCATTCTAGCAACCGGTGTTGATTACACTGGTGCTATTGAATTAAAATCGTCGCGATACCGTGGGAACACCACATACAAGGGCTACGTTGCAATTTTCATTTGCTTAGCTACGAAAGCAGTTCACCTGGAGGCGGTTACCGGAATGTCATCCGAAGCATTTCTCCTCGCACTGCAAAGGTTCATCGGCCGGCGAGGACTGTGGGAAGATATGTACAGCGACTGCGGAACTAATTTTGTAGGGGCCGATAAGGTGTTACAGGTGAGCCAGCGGAAACTTCTCGAAGACATGAAAAAAGATGTCGTCCCACATATCGCCAATCACGGCATCCAATGGCATTTCAACCCCCCTCACTCCCCCAATTTTGGGGGTCTGTGGGAGGCCAATGTGAAATGCGTCAAGTATCACTTAAAGCCGGTTCTGAATGGAACCCGCCTTACCTTTGAGGTGCTATCAACACTTCTTGCACGCATTGAGTCATGCCTTAACTCTCGGCCACTATGTCCGCTGACTTCGGACCCAGATGATTTGATGGTGCTCACTCCCGGGCATTTTCTCATCGGGAGCCCGCTTCTGTCACCGCCCGTTACTTCAGCAGCACCAAACGTTTCACTTAGTCAACACTTTACTCAAACACAACGAATGTTGCAACACTTTTGGCAAAAATTTACCTCCGATTGGTTAGCTCATCTGCAAACGCGGCCAAAATGGTGCAAAATACAGCCAAACTTACAACTGAATGATTTAGTTATAGTAAAAGATGACCGACTACCACCAAATGAGTGGGTTATGGCGCGAATTATTGAACTCCATCCCGGATCAGACAAGCTGGTGCGCGTAGTCACCGTACGCACAAAAAATGGAACGTATAACCGCTCAATCTCTAAGCTGTGCCCATTGCCGATACCCACTTATACTCAAAATTACTCATTCCATATTTTGCAACCAAATAGTGCACTTGGCACACTTTCTCCCCTTCGCCAGCGTGAAGCCCAAACCAAATCGAGGACTATACTGGTCCCAGCATGGGGGGCGGCATGTTCGAACTCGATCGAACTATTACCTTGGCTGTCGCTGTTCAATTCGCTGTTATTTATTATGCAAGCTGTCGCCACAATCTGGCATTCTCTGTGGCCGAGTTAGCCGTCGCCACGTTCTGGCATCCATGTAAATCGAAGGCGAAGAGAGCGAAAAGAGAGAGAAAACGGAGAAAATAAATTCATCAGCTAGGGGAAGTTGTCAACTGGCGGTCATCCTCTCCGCACGTATATATAAGTGTTTACTAACCCGTAATTATATAGATTACATACATACCCTTTGTCAAGTACATACCTAGCGGAATAAGTCTGAAATTTTTGTGTATAATAAAATCAAGCCTTCGCTTCAATACTGTTTTTTGGAAACCTCAATACAATGCAATTCTGCACATTGTGAATATGTGTATATTAGACTGCATCACTCCCCATAAAAAAAAAATCGGTACTGTCTTTCCATTGAAATTATAAAATCTATTATATTTTAAGACTTCCACCAAAATATTTTAGAAAAATATTAAGATTTACGTGAGCTGGATCAATTTGAAAATACCTCCAAAAAGGAGTTTTTTATGAATAAAAATAGTAAATAACCGGCGCAAGTATTAAATATATGTTTTTCACCTTACCGAAAGCTACCACTACATGGTAAGCCGAGGTGTATCAATTTTGAGTAAATTAGCGTCCTTAAATCTAGAAATATTGAAGTTTCAAGCATTTCTGAAATTTACCGTTATATGAAAAGCGGCCGTAATTTTACTCCGATTTCAATAATTTTCAACGTTTTGCTTTTATGTGGCAAGCACAATAATCATACCGAGTTTGGTATAAATTGGTAGAACGGTTACTGTTTAGGGGGAATTGAGCCCTTTCAATTCCCAAGACGATTAACTATGTTAAATATATTTTACGATGCCATATTCGTCATGAAATTTAAACACGCACGTTTTTCTTGCGATAGGAAGATTTTGACAGCGAGCCTTGTTTATTCTTCTTCATTAAACAAACCACAATTAGAACTCAAAATACAATATTTATGAATTCAAGATTGACTATTAAATGGTTACTCATTTTAAAATATTGAAGGGATAAACATAATTTACTTAACATACACCCCCTCTTGAGGGGCTATTGCTCCCTCAACTGGAAGCCGTCTGATTTCAGCGGTAGCTCGCTGAAATTCACTATTGTTTGTTTTGATCGTAACAGCTCTCGTAACGCCGTCTTTGCCTGGATGCACCTGCGGGATCCGTCCGAGTTTCTATTGTGGAGGTGGTATGTTTTCTTCTTGTAAGATGACAATGTCACCGACGTGTATCTTTAATATTTCGTCTTGAGAATTTCTTTGTCGCAACATACATATAATAGACGTCGCGTTGTCACTGTATATGACCGCGCAACAACCGCGTCGTGAAAGGAACCGCCTTAGAGCATTTAAGAACGCCTTTGTGCTGAGATCTTCCACAAGCTCTAAGTGAACAGCCATAGTAACGAAGCAGACAAAAATTGATACATACGCCCTTACAGGTGCCGTAGCACGACGTCGAAAATGTATATAAAAGGGACCACAAAAATCAATTCCGACAATATTGAATGGTCGGCTTTGTTGAACACGAAGCTCTGTTAGATCAGCCATGAGTTGATTCGATTTAATTGGCTGCGCCTTCGAGCAGCGGACGCAGTTGTAGACGACAGAGCGTGCTAAAACCTTTCCATGGACTGGCCAAAACCTTTGACGAAAAATATTCAACAATGCATGTGGCCTACGTGATGATTCTGTAGGTGATGATTAATGTGACCAACTATTTCATAGCTCAAAGAAGTACAGGCTAGTTTGGGTTAAGTTAACGACGCGAGCTGATTACGAAATTTCGAATGCAGCTAATTTCGATCCCCGAGAGCTCAGTGTTTGTTCAGAAGTGCGAGCCAAATCTTAGCCTCGTGAGGGTTGGACAGTCTAATAGAAAGTGTGGAGATGATTCCACTTCATCTTTCTCTTGACATATGATAAAAAATAACAGTTGAAATTCCTAGTCTCACCGCATGAATACCAATCGCACAATGGCCTCTCAGAACCCACATCACTAGCCCTTGAGATGGCATGTGTTTTAAAGTGCCCTATAAAAATATTTGCTGCAGCAGAGAAACGTCTTCTTTTCCTTTTTTATGTCACAAAAGGACCCGGTTTCCCTTAGCCTAATAGCCGGCGCCGTGCTCAACATATGTATGTTAAGCGCCAGTGAAGCCTTGAAACAATATAGGCTTAAATCTGGTTTCCTAGAGCTAATGAATTAATTTGGGCGAGAGACCTTACATTTTACCGATAGCCCCCCTACGGCAGTACAAGTACTGTCACGAAGTAAGCTGTAGATAAGCCTTATTCGGTTGGTTTCAACCTCCAGATTATGAATATACATAACTATTGCCTCCGGAGTGACATTGTTGAAGGCCCCCTCTTTATGCCGGAAGGGTTCCTCTGACTGTAGAGTATTTTACTTGCAT